TTTATGTAAGCAACATACAAGCTATTCAAATGTCAAGTTTTACCCTTTAAATTCAATATGTGATTTACCCGTATTGATGAAGGGCTCTAGATGCCTTTATTTGTAATTGGCCCTGAAATATTAAACTCCCTAAAAACCCGAAATCCCCGCAAATCCATTCACACCCGCCTACACATTCGGAACTACAAATCCCATCAGCCCTTGCGGTGCTTGGGATATGCTGGGAGGTGGCGGGAGCTTCGATATGGCGGAGGCTGTTACAACTCCTGGGGAGCAGATGCCGCAGCGGGTAAGGACGAGCTCGGGGAGCGAGTTCCCGGGACGGGGTTACCAGAGGTGCAGGTCTGTGCACCGGGACCAGTTGTCTGGATTCCTCCCGGAGCGGATGGCCGGCCGGCCGGCCGGCCCTGGTGCGTTATCGGAGCCCGCGTCCCTCTCTCCCGAGCGGGGTTCCTTCATCCTTCCCACAGGAGGCACCGAGCCCTGGGCTGTTGGAAGTGGCGGGCCCCACTGCTCGAACATGCGCGGGGCTCGGGCAGGAACGAGCCCGCGAAGGGCTTTTGCCCTATTCAGCGTCCTGGGGGAGGGGAGGTGGGGTCTCGCTGTGTGTTTTGCAGCAGAGAGGTCTGTATTCAGTCGCTGCTACCTGTTCGGTGATAGCCTGAGCTCACAGCTTTAGGTGTGAGCTGGTTTGAGAGGCTCATCATAAGAATCACAAAATCAGCCCGGCTGGAAGAGACCTTTAAGAGCATCAAGTCCAATGGTTCCCCAGCACTGCCAAGGCCACCACTAACCCATGTCACCGAGGGCCTCATCTACATGGTGTGTGAGCACTTGCAGGGACAGTGACTCCACCACTGCCCTGGGCAGCCTGTTCCAATGCCTGAGCACCCTCTGGGGAAGGAATCATTCCTAAGTTGTGAAAATCTTGCATTGCTGAAGTTTTTAGTGTTTCAGGTCTTTCTCAATAGAGACACTGACAGAAAAACGCAATTCATTATTTATTTGCAAACTTGGCTTTCTTGCAGTATGAGAGTTTTCACCTGCACAAAGTTAGTGCTCTTTCCTTCTAAGGCCTTGATGGTTTTCTCCCCAGTTTAGTATAGGGTGATGTTTTCTGTATGCCATGTAATGTAGCTGAGATGCTGGTGTGGTAGAAGCATAAAGAGGGACATGCTAGAAAGAAAATTATAAGGCTGGGTCCCTTTCCATCACATTGCTTAGATGACCTTATACAAGAACTTACATTGCCCCAGTGTGTTTGGGACCCTAAGGCTCATCCAGTTCCAATCACCTGCCACGTGCAGGGACACCTTCCACTAGAGCAGGTTGCTCCAAGCCCCTGTGTCCAACCTGGCCTTGAACATCCCTGCCAGGGATGGGGCAGCCACAGCTTCTCTGGGCACCCTGTGCCAGCGCCTCAGCACCCTCACAGGGAAGAACTTCTGCCTCAGATCTCAGTCTCCCCTCTGGCAGGTTAAAGCCATTCCCCCCCGTCCCTATAGGCCCTTGTCCAAAGCCCATCTCCACGTTACTTGTAGCCCGTTTAGGCACTGCGAGCTGCTTTAAGGTCTCCCCTTCAGGAGCCCTCCCTTCTCCAGGCTGAACCAGCCCAGCTCTTTGAGCCTGTCTCCAGAGCAGACCTGCTCCAGCCCTTGTAGCATCTCCGTGGCCTCCTCTGGACTCACTCCAACACCTCCACGTCCTTTTTATGCTGGGGGCCCCAGAGCTATTATTAGCAATTATAATTGAATCTCTTCAATTATGATTTTCTTAATCTCTTTCCCATTTCTGACCTTCTTTTCAGAGGTAGGTACTATGCTTTGCAGGACTCATGCCTGCACGTTGTAGTAACTGTTTCTCCCCTACTAGTCTGTAGAGACTGTTCCCAGTGCTCTATCAGAATTAGGGCAATTTTATCCCATGCTAGTCTACTGCTGTTTTTACCATCTGCCAAAATACCTATTTACCATCTTTTGGATTATTACTGTGTCTGTATAAAGAGGTCATGTCAATAAAAAGATAAAATTTTATCACCTGGCAATAAACAGTTGTACAGAGAAATGAGGGAGGTTAAAATGGAAATGGTTTTCTAAACTACGATGGTGACTGAGGAAGAGACAAAGAGCACCATCCATACCTTGACTGGCATAGGGGGAGTTATTCTTCAGGAAGGCAGAGCCTGCAGCACTTTACCTTTCTTAGCTCCATCAGGTATTTTCTCTCATTTCACTTCACTTCACTGTTTAATCTTTTTTTTTTTTTTTTTTTCCCTGATAGGTTACTACATGGCTAAAGAAAGTATTTGGGAATTGGCCTATTCCACAGTACAAAATCAATGAGCAGGCAGTCTGGGGAACAAACAAGGAATTAGAGATGTGTGCACGTCTATGGGGTTATGATATAATAGGCATCACAGAAACATGGTGGGATGGCTTCTATGACTGGAGTGTTGGAATAGAAGGTGACAGGCTCTTTATAAAAGACAGGCCTGGCAGGCGGGGAGGGAAAGTTGCCCTTTATGTTAGGGATAGGCTGGAGAGTATGGAACGCTGTCTGGGGACAGGTGAGCAGTTAACAGAGACTTTGTGGGTCAGGGTTAAAGGGAAAACAGCTATGGGAGACATTACTGTGGGGATCTGTTACAGACTGCCTGATCAAGAGAAACCTGCGGATGAAGCACTCTACAGACAATTAGGAACAGCCTCAGGCTCACAGGCACTTGACCTCATGGGGGACTTGAAGCACCCTGACATCTGTTGGAATGACGATACGGCCCGGCACAAGCAATCCAGGAGGTTCCTTGATTGTGTGGAAGACAACTTCCTTCTGCAAGTAATAGAGGAGCCAACAGGAGAAGTGCCATACTTGACCTCGTGCTCACCAACAGGGAAGGGCTGGTTGGAAATGTGACGCTCCAGGGCAGCCTTAGATGCAGCGATCATGAGATGGTCGAATTTGAGATCCTCAGGACAGTGAGAAGAGCATGCAGCAAGCTCACTGCCCTGGACTTCAAGAGAGCAGACTTTGGCCTCTTCAGGAACCTGCTTAGGAAGGTTTCATGGGATATAGCCCTAGAGGGCAGGGGGGCCCAAGACTCTTGGTTGGTATTCAAGGATCACCTGCTACAAGCTCAGGACTGTTGCATCCCAACTAGAAGGAAGAGCAGCAGGAGGGCCAGGAGACCTCCTTGCATGGATAAGGAGCTGCTGAGGAAACTTCAAAGGAAAGAAGAGGCTTATAAAAGGTGGAAGCAAGGACAGGCAGCCTGGGAAGAGTACAGCTATGTTGTCCGGGAAGCTAGGGACCCGGTTAGGAAAGCTAAGGCCCAGTTAGAATTAAACCTGGCTAGGGATGTTAAGGATAACAGGAAGGGATTCTATAAGTACATAGTGAATAAAAAACAGACTAGGGACAACGTAGGCCCCCTCCGGAAGATATCGGGAGAACTGGCTACACAGGATTTGGAGAAGGCTGAGGTTTTGAATAACTTCTTTGCCTCGGTCTTCACTGGCAAAGGCTCTGACTGCACCACCCAAGTCTTGGACGGTAGACACAGGGACTGTGAGAATGAAGACCTTGGGCCCACCTTAGGAGAGGATTTGGTTCGAGACCATCCTAAAAACCTGAATGTACACAAGTCCATGGCACCTGATGAAATCTATCTGCAGCTCCTGAAGGAGCTGGCAAATGATTTTGCTAATCCACTGTCCATCCTGTTTGAAAATCGTGGCAGTCAGGGGAAGTTCCCAACAACTGGAAAAAGGGTAATATAGCCCCCATTTTCAAGAAGGAGAAAATGGATTACCCAGGAACTACAGACCAGTCAGTCTCACCTCTGTGCCTGGCAAAATCTTGGAGCAGATTCTCCTGGAAGGCATGCTAAGGCACATGAAAAACAACAAGGTGCTTGGTGACAGCCAGCATGGCTTCACTAAGGGGAAATCCTGCCTGACCAATTTGGTGGCCTTCTATGATGGAGCTACAGAACTTATGGACAGGGGTAGAGCAGTTGATGTCATCTACCTGGACTTGTGCAAAGTGTTCAACGCTGTCCCACATGACATCCTTGTCTCTAAATTGGAGAGACATCAATTTGATAGGTGGACTACTTGGTGGATAAAGAACTGACTGGCTGGCCGCACACAAAGTGTTGTGGTCAATGGCTCAGTGTCCGGCTAGAGACCAGTAACGAGTGGTGTCCCTCAGGGATCAGTGTTGGGACCAGTCTTGTTCAACATCTTTGTTTGTGACATGGACAGTGGGATTGAGTGCACCCTCAGCAAGTTTGCCGATGACACCAAGCTGTGTGGGTGAGTTGGAACTGAAGGACTTGGCGGCGCTGGATGATGACAAACTGAAAATGAGCCGGCAGTGTGCGCTCACATCCCAGAAAGCCAACCATATCCTGGGCTGCATCAAAAGGAGCATGACCAGCAGGTCAAAGGAGGTGATCCTGCCCCTCTACTCTCGTGAGACCTCACTTGGAATATTTTGTACAGTTCTGGTGTCCTCAACATAAAAAGGACACGGAACTGTTGGAACAAGTCCAGAGGAGGCCATGAGGATGATCAAGGGACTGGAGCACCTCCCGTATGAAGGCAGGCTGAGGAAGTTGGGGCTGTTCAGCCTGGAGAAGAGAAGGCTGCATGGAGACCTCATAGCAGACTTCCAGTATCTGAAGGGGGGCTATAGGCATGCTCAGGAGGCACTCTTGATTATAGACTGTAGTGACAGAACAAGGGGTAACGGGTTAAAACTTAAACAGGGGAAGTTTAGATTGGATATAAGGAGGAAATTCTTTCCTGCGAGGGTGGTGAGGCACTGGAATGGGTTGCCCAGGGAGGTTGTGAATGCTCCATCCCTGGCAGTGTTCAAGGCCAGGCAGGACAAAGCCTCGGGTGACATGGTTTAGTGTGAGGTGTCCCTGCCCATGGCAGGGGAATTGGAACTAGATGATCTTAAGGTCCTTTCCAACCCTAACTATTCTATGAATGTCTTGTATAAGCTTGCAGAATACAACGAAGTCAGAGAGAGAGATGTTTCTTTGGTGATGGAGGGCTTGAAGGAGTGGTCAAAGGAATATGAAGCAGAAGGTGAGTTTGAAGCTCCAGTTCTCACTCCATCAAAGTTATTCTTAGTAATCGTGAAGGTTGTCTTTCTTTGAATCTTACAAGCATATATATATATATATATATATAAATACAACCAAAATGAACTCATCTTTTGTTCTAGTACAGTTTTTACTACAGTGCATCCCATGCCTTTCTTTCAGCAAAATTTGTGGTGACATAAGGTTGGTCAAGCGGAACTTTTTAAGCATTGTTTAGCATGCTGCTCATAGAGCCAAGGAGTTTAATTGCTAAAACCTCCTACCTTGCTGGGCTGAACAGCACAGCATTGAAATATTGGCTGGATAGACAGGGAAGCAACCCTACAGCTGATTTAAGAGTCTGAGCTGATGCTAAGCCACTGTTAAGGAAAACACCTGTGGAATCTGAAATGACACTAAGTTATGCTTGAGCTACTTAAGGTGAGTGTTTGATAATGTGCAATTTTTGAAGCAAGTGAGTGGTTCTGGGAACCATAGTATTTTTTTTTTAAATGTGCTAAAGGGTTGTCCCTTTACTGGCTTTTTTCAGGAAGGAATTTTACTTCTCTGTGGAAAGGCTGATATTGTACACATAGAGATACTTTTGTAAAAGCCGTATATGTTTTGGGTTTTTTTTACCACAAGTCTTCTAGTGCCTTGCCATCAAACAAATGATGATGGAGGCTGGATGGTTGGTTTAGCCTGTCAAGGAACATGGGCACTACCAGACAGGCATATGTATTATCTCTGCTGCAAATTCAGACTTCCCACGTCTGCTGTGACAGAGAAGCTCGTTCTCAGGAAAGGCTTAGGTTGAGCTCTGCAGGGGGAAGGCCTGTGTGTCCTCATCAACACCGTACAAGCATGAACTCATATTTGAGTGAGTTCAGGCAGGCTGGTCAGGAAAACTGGAGCAGTGCTTTCTCCTTCAACACACTGAATTTGTTTGACAAGCAAGGGTGTGGCAGCAGTTTGGTATGTTGAAGCCTTCTTTTAAGATGTCTCTTTCCCTAACAGTGGAGAAACAAAGTTCATAGAATTACAAAATTATTTGGGTTGAAAGGGAGTTTAAAGCTCGTCTGGTTCCAACCCCCTGCCATGGGCAGGGACACCTTTCAGTAGACCAGATGGCTCAAAGATTGAGTTCTAGCTTTGGAGAGTCCTTTAAAAGAACAGTAATATTAAAAAATAAAATTACTATTTGGGGTTGTATTTATTTTCCAGCTAAGTATCTAGAGCGCCTTCTCTCAGAAGAGCTGGGTGTTTCCACACAAAAGCTGTCCAGGAAAGGTGCCATGTATCTGGATGCCCTGGTAAGCAGTGCAATGACACTTGAAACGAAGGACACTTCTCTTGCCAGGTAATTTTTCCTACTGTGCATTGGGGTGATGGTCTGTGCTGTTTCCCTCTGTTTTTTCAATTCAATAATTGCAAACTTGACTTTGACACCCAGGAATCTTACTTGTCCAGCTTATTTTTCACCCCTTTGGCAGCTCTAAAGGACATTGGAACTCAGCACAAAACTCTAACCTTGGTTATCTGGGGAAGGGAAAGTCTCTGTAGCCTAAGTGCCTTGGCAAGAGATAGATGCCTCTTGGAAAGAGGAACTGTACTGGTACTGCACTTGTGCCACAGCAACCCCATGCAACAGGGGGTTGGTGCCACAGCAACCCCACGCAACTCCAGGCTTGGAGAAAAGTAGCTGGAAAGGTTCTCATGGAAAAGGACCTTGGCAGTGCTGATTGACAGAGCTGAACATGAGCAGCTTGTGGCAGGCAGCCAAAGCGGCCAACAGCATCCTGGCCTGTATCAGCAATAGTGTGGCAGCAGGACCAGGGCAGTGATTGTCCCCCTGTGCTGGGAACTGGTGAGGCCACACCTCAAATCCTGTGTTCAGTTCTGGGCCCCTCACTGCAGGAGAGACATTGAGGTGCTGGAGCGGATCCATAGAAGGGCAGTGGAGCTGATGAAGGGCCTGGAGCACAAGTGTGGTAAGGAAGGGCTGAGAAACCTGGGGGGTTTAGTCTGGAGGAAAGAAGGCTCAAAGTGGGACCTTACTGCTCTCTACAATTACTTGACAGGAGGTTGTAGTGAGATGGGGATCAGTCTCTTACCCCAAGTAACAAGTGATAGGACAAGAGGAAATGGCCTCAAGCTGCGCCAGGGGAGGTTTAAACTGAACATCAGGAACAATTTCTTCACCAAAAGAGTACTCAGGCATTGGAACAGGCTGCCTAGGGCAGTGGTGGAATCACCGTTCCTGGAAATGTTCACAAACCATGTAGTGGTGAACATGGCAGTCCTGGGTTAAAAGTTGGATTCGATGATCTTAAAGGTCTTTTGCAACCCAGTTGATTCTATGATTCTATTTTTGCCTGTGCTTTTGTGGTCAGTGACTGTAAGATGTTGTTGCTCACACTGTTGTGGCAGGTAGCACAAGCTAGAGCAGCATTCACACTGCTTAGGCAAGGGCTGGGGAACTGAAAGCTCTGGTCTTTCAGGCTCAGCTCCTCATTCTTTGCTCTTATCTGGTTTCACGTAATGTAAGGATATTTCCTTAGCCACAGAGAAATGGCCATTGTTAGCCTGGTCTTCCTGGGCCTGTCTTTGACGCAGAACACAGCAGGTTCGTGCTGAGCACTGGCAGTAAGGACCAAAATCTGCCTTGGAATCCAATTTTTGTATGATGTTCAGGAGTTTGGCTCTTACAGCTCTTCTCCTGAGCTGGAGGGGAAAGCAGCTTTGAACCATTTGGGAAGAGAAGGGAGACTGAAAATAGTGCTGGGCATGCCTCAGGAACTGAATACAGTTTCGCTCAAAGGCAATTTGGCAAGCCAGGAGTGCAGCATCTGATGGTCTCAAGTCCCAGTGGTTATATTCACCAGAGTGCAAGCTCTTGTTCACTTACTCCTACCAGATTGATGGGGCACTTCCCCTTTCAGATGAAAGTTTTGTTAGTTAAGGGAAGTAAATAACTCTTAGTGATTTATTTTCCTTCTATCATAAAGATACATTTGAGAACAAAACCAAGTCACTAGTGTAAAGCATGGAGAAATTAGTAATTCTGAGTTTGAGAAGAGCTGGCTTCTGAGTATTCCCACTGAATCTTTCTCTCTTCACCAGCTTCATCGGTGCCATCAATGAAAGGACATCCGAACTCTATACAATAGAATTGGAAAACAGAAAAATGGAACTGGAATTGAAAAATCTCATGGAAAAAATGCCTACAGCACTGAAGCTGCAAACTCAGTTAGAAAAGTGAGTAATGAATGAGAAAAGGGGATGTTTAAACATTTTAAGTGATGCCTCTGATCTCCACAATATGGAATGTTGGTTGTGATAACTAACAAGGATAACTGAATTTCTTAGCACATCTTTAATTCACAATATTTTGAAGGATTTACCACAAGCCATGCGCTACGGACACATTCAGTAATGAAAAGAGGTTTGGGATACCATCAAATCCATTACTGTTAGCCAAAAATGACCTACAAACAGTATTCAGGTATGCACTGGCTTCTTCCGCCAGTTGCCTTCATTGGAGGTAGATGCGAATTTGATTCTCTTACCACATTTAGCATGGGCTGTCTAGTCAGAGTGAAGGAGCCAGGCAAAACAAAAACCACTCACAGGTAAGAATTTCCTTTAGCCAGTGTGTAACAGACTTCAGAAAACAAGTAATAATTAATAGTCAGTATGAAGTCCAATCCCTAGAGGATGTAATCCGAAATGCTTTGCCAAGCATAGCAGGATCCGCCCCTGCCTCAAGTGGGGATTGGCCCAGATGCTCTCCACAGCCCTCTTCAAGGCTAATAGTTTTCTGGTTTTTATCTTTTAGAGTAGTAACTGTAACAAAGATACCAGACCTGTGTTCTTTGTGCAGGTTTGCATGGCTCCTCTCTGTGATCTTCAGTTGAGCTTGCCTAGCAGGTTTCTAACTGAATTGGAATTATGCAGAAGACTGTTACACTTTGCTTTTATGCAGATGGCTTTCTCCTTGGCCTTTTTTTCCCCGCCTTGGTCTTTGGAACTCTGGATGTAACAGCTGTAATGTGTCCATTGGGAAATCTCACAGGGAAATGCAAGTTTTAATCTATTCTCTCCCTTCTCATGCTGGTTGTATTATAGGGTTTAGCTTGAGCATACATAACTAAGCAATACTTGTACACGGGTATCTCTTGGAACATAAGTTTGATGGGTTTTGTTTTGTTGTTTTTTGGTTTTTTTGTGTGTTTTTTTTTTTGTGTGTGTTTTTTTTTTTAGGGATCTTGAAAGTACACAGGAACTTATCAACGTAAAAAAAGCCCAAGCTGATCGCAGATCCCAGGACATGCAGTTCCTGCAACTTAAAAAACAAGAGTTAAAGGGAAGGATCGAAGCTGCTGAGGTAAATGGAAGGAATTTTTCCACATCAGAGTCATGCTTGGTTGGGCCCAAAATTGTAGTTCTAGAGATCCCAGGAGCTTCCTAAACTCCAGGACTGAGGATTTTTGGACTAACAGGAAAATATGACATTACTCTTAAGTTGTTTCTGCTATATTTGTGGTCTCTCCCCAGGACATCCTGTGATAATGCAAGGGCACTTTCATTGTGAGCTGTATTACCTAGGACTACCACATGCTTATTGTGAGGTGCTGTCACCTAAGAGTATACACATAGCTACCAGTAAAGCAGCTGATCCACAGAGATAACTTGTGTGTCAAAATTCTAATTATATAATTTTTTTAAAATTACTGCATGATTAAACACAGAAGGCAGAAATTGTACTGTCTTTCACATGATGAAGGATATGCGAATGCTTTATTTAACACTTGGATGCTGTCCAGCAACCTGATAAAGATGAGATGGAAAATGTTGTATTAGAGTTGATGACACCTTCATAGAATCATAGGCAAGTTTGGGTTGGAAGGGACCTTAAAGCTTATCCAGGTCTAAGCCCCTCTTGGAACTAGACACCTTCCACTAGCCCAGGTTGCTCCAAGCCCTGTCCAAACTGACCTTGAACATATCCAGGGATACCTGTTCCCAGCCTTGCCATGTGTTCATCACCCAGTACTTTTCTGGAAATACTTGCTATTCTTGATACAAATTTTAGTAGCAACTGAATTCATACACCAGCTATAGCCATGGTTCACCCAGCATGTTTCTTTTGTTGACAGGTTGTGTTCTTGTTTGGCTCTTTAGCTCAAAACTCAAAAAAAAAAAAGGTAAAATCTCTCTCCTCCCTGTTGTATTTTGTGGTCAGTTCCAAAGGAACTCTTTCATTTTTGTAGATGGAGCTTGCTGCCACAGGATTTGACATGTCACTGTCACACAAGTCACTGGTGAGCCTGGCTCAGGTAGGTTTGCTGGTACATGATAGATGTTTTATAGTGGCACAGATCAGGCTTGTTTGTTGCATCGTTTCAGGAAATACAGGTTGTTATTTGGTTACACTGACAAATATTAATGATGAAACACATTTAAGAATCCCATGGATGGGCTTCTGCTGAACCGGGGTGTGTTGGGTGAGTTTTTCTCTTCTAGAAACTGAGAAGCGCCTATGGCTGCTGAAGTGGTACCTCTTCTTCAGGGTTAGATATGGGGTTATTTTGGACTTGGTAAGAAGCTTTCTTTCAAACACTTCAGAGTGACTGGAGGAGGCCGAGTGAAACCCAATGCTGAACCACCGTGTGTTTTTTTTTTCCCCTTTAAATATAAATGTTATGTATTTTTTATATTATTTATATACTTTCCTACTGTATTGTAAGCCCAGTGGGATAATTTTTTAAAGGAAAAAGAAAGCACATTTCTTGAGTTACTAGTTATAGATTCTCCACCTTTACGCTGAAGCATGTTGCATGTATTGGTGTTGTTCTGTATGCACTCACCACATTTGAATATTATTTAATATTATTTGCTTTAATATTATTTGCTGTTACTGTAATGAGAACTTAGCCTTTCTACCCATTTCTTTGCTACCTGTTCTGTGTTTTAAGTTGAACAGTGTAAATAGGTTTCCTGATGTTTGTGTTGTCGTTCTCATGAGCCAGCACTGGGTGGCAATGTTTACATTGCACAGTGTTTCAGAAGAGTACTAACCAAAAATAATTTCTGTAGGAATTTTATATACAAAAAGTCATAGGTGTTCTTTTCTAGACTTGTCATCTTCTAGAACCTGAGCATAAGGGTGGGTTTGACTCCCTGGCACTTCTGTATCTCCTTTTCCAAGAGCTCAGTGAGTTGAGCAGCACAAATGCCTTTAGTTTTGGAGTGCATTTTTTTTATTACTAATTATTTGAAACTAATTGAGTTCTGTGGAAGGTGCTTAATTTTCATCCCTAAAGAGAAATTGTTTTCTCTTGTTAACAGATTAAGCAAAACAGTACAAGTGTAAAGGGGGTCTTTGAGCTGCTGCGTGTGCAAAACCATTTCCACACACAAGCCACAGGCATGAGAGTGTGTCTCCTTGGGGCTCAGTTCTTTCTCTGGCCTGTACGGAGGTGGTCAGTGAAAAAAAAATCCTCTGTCTGGTGTATTCTCATTCAGGGAGATGTGATCAGGTGGTTATACTGTAAGAATAAAGATATCTGAAGATGTCTTCAGAGCAAAGAGACCTCTGTGTAAAACTTGTACTGGGTTTGACTGATTGATAACCAAACAAGTAGCAGATCTGCCGATTTCCATGGATGGATTTTGGAGGCTCTTACCAGCATCTGTGGGTTTTGAAATGCTGTAGATAACTGTGGATCTATTTCACTGGCTTATATCACTTCTACAGGTAAGACTGTATAATATAATCTGCCTTACTCTCTTCACAGAAACTGGATAGACTGCAGAAAGATCTTGTGCCACTGAAGAAAAAAGTGGAAAGCTACCGAGATTTACCTGCTGTAATTATTTTTTTCCACTTTTGTTCTATTGTGTTTGCCATCAGATTAATTTTAATGGACTTTAGAATGTAAAGGATATTATGATGGTTTCAGTGGACAGATGTATGTTGGTTGTAAATGGAAAACTTGACTTAAACAGAAGGCAATCTATTATTCAAAGCTGGGAAAATAAGTAGGCTTACCAGGCAAACTCTGTTCTAACAGAAGGCACATATTTTCTGGGTAAACTCAGTATTGAGATGGATTAGCTATATAGACGAAGAAATGTAGAAGAAAGGATAATTCCTTAGCACAACAAGTCTTTTGCAATTTACCAGGATTTTAGATCTGCATGTCATAAAGCTGTCAATACGGTGGGCACAGCACACTGAGCAAAGGTTGGAGCTCTGAGCAAGATTTTAATTCTTATGAAGAAATAGCCAAATGCAGGCATTGGACCTTAAAGAAGTACTCCAGCTTGTGTGAGTGCTCGCTGCTCCATCATCTTCTTTGATTTAGAATCATAGAATAGTTTGAATTAGAAAGGACCCTGACATCATCCAGTTCCAACCCCCTGCCAGGGGCAGGGACACCTCACTCTAGATCATGTCACCCAAGGCCAGAGCCTTGAACAACCTGGCCTTTAACACTGCCAGGGATGGAGCATTCCCCAGTTCTTTGGGCAACCTGTTAAAGTGCCTTACCACCCTCACAGTAGAGAACTTCTTCGTTATATCCAGCCTGAACTTACCCTGTTTTCGTTTGAACCTGTTACCCCTTGTCCTATCGCTGCAGTCCCTGATGAAGAGTCCCACTTCAACATCCTTGTAGGCCCTCTTTCTCTTGAGGGTGCTGTCTACTCATGCTAAATGAGTGTCTACTTATGTCAGGTTTGTCATTTAGGTGACTAAGTTGCAGTTCTGAAAGCCCTGTCTGTCTTTCCTTTGTTTTATAGTTTGGCTATCATCACTACTGGTCCTTCTGCTAAGAGTTACTATCAGACTGTTATGGGAAGCATCTTTTATAAAAATGATTTTACTACCCTTTTCAAATTGGAATGCTTGTGACAAAATTACAAAAAGGGTAATTTTGTGAACAACTTCATAGTGGCTTAAAGAAATAATGGGTGAACAAGGCTTTAGTCCATGAAACAAGGCCTTGGCTGTGTGTGACATCTGTACATTGCCACCTGTGGTATTTGGGACTACCAAACCCAAGTATTTATAGTCTGCTTTAGAAGATTGTTATTGCTTTTATAAAGAAATATAAAGGGCTTTTCTTTTTGTCATTGAGGGGAAAAGTAGCTAAAGGTGGAGTATGAATAGTTAAATGGGTTTTGGTTTTGTTAAATTCAGCTGTAACTGTCTAATTTACAGTTTTGCATTTGAGTTAGCTGACATAGTGCCTGTTACCTCCTCATCAGAGTACCGCACAACCTTTAACAGAGCTAACCTCAGACCTTTCTGTGTAAGAAGTGAAAAAGTTTTATTCCACTTCTTGGAGCATAAAGGGACAGAGAAACAAAGACTTACCCAAAATCACACAGAAACTCGGCAATTAATCGCATGTCTTGTATTATGAACAAGGGACCTGTTTGCTAGGTCACACTTCTCTACCCACCTTGTTATCCCTTCCATAGAGTTCCTGCTTCTCAACACAACTCCCTCTTACTGCTACTGCTGTCTTGTTTCTAGAAGAACAGAGTGAAGGGAGAGAACGCTGCTTCTCTTTCAGATCCATTTTATTCCAAGAGGCAGCTGCCTCGTTTTCTCAAGTGAAATGGGATGTTCAAGTTGGATTAGGTTCTCCAGTTCCCCATCCCTCCCTTGTACTGGCACTAGAGACAGGCAGAGCCCCAGTGCCTCACTCCTGGTGCAGTTAGAAGGAAACTCACTGTGCTTTGTAAAAATTCATGCATGGATATGTTTTAAATCTAGTTCTCTGTTTAGTAGGTAAGCTGCGAAAAATGCTTTGGTTTTTTTTTCTGACTTTATATATCAGACTTTTGAAAACTATTGTGATTACCCAAACCAAATTGGGTAAAAGTCTGAGATGAGCCTTTTAATGTCAGTACCTCTTGCATGTGAAGGGTGTACACATAACTGATCTAATTATTCCCAAATTCCCCTGCAGCACATCATTAGGTTCTTGCCATGATGAAGGGACTCCGTGTTTCCAGCTGAAATGTTAATTTTTATGCCATTTTCTCTCATTAGAATATTCCACTTGCAAAAGTGAAGGTTGAAGAATTAAAACAAGAACTGGTAAGAGTTTTTTTATCTCTCACAGAGATTTAAATGAGCACTGATATTCCAAAACAAACTACATGTATTAATTGGTTGTTGATTTATCAACCTCAGATTGTAGTCTTAATGATCTCTAAAGGAAGATTTCCTCTGGTAAGGCAGAATCCATGCATACCAGTAGCAGGAACTGGTGAAGGAATGATAGTCTCAGTTACAAAGGCAGTTGAGCATAATGGTATCAGTGAGGATTATGTATCTATATCCCGCTGGATTTTGTCTGCTTCACCTGTCAGAGTGTTTATTCACCGAGCTGTGTTGCAGCTTCTTGGTCTCACAGCCTTCCTTGCTGCTCCTGAACTCTCAGAGGGCTCTAGGCATGTATTTTGTTTAACAGCTGCATTGTAGACTGCAGTGGGGACCTTCCCCTATAAAACGTAATGCCCATTTCATCCATGTTTGTGTCATCTGCACTTATGGTTGTATAAACATGTTTGGGAAGTTCATATGTAACTTTCCTGAGTCAGCTGGGCCGCATTTGAGCATGTGAACCTCTCTTTATTTCTTTGGGCTACTGTCAGGTTGCCCATAGATAAAGCATGAGGTATTCAGCCATAAGCCTTGAAGCAGCAATCAAAAATTACAGCTATTTGGCAGCTATTTTGTACATTTTCGGATGAGACTGCTCAGGTTGATGAGCCACTTGGATTTGATTCAGAAATACAAGCTCACCTTAACAGCCTGAGGCTTTTATCAGGTCAGAATATTCAAGGGAGAATATCTGTTCAGTTGAAGGTGTTCAATATCACACTGGGATAACTGAGCTTGTTTAGCCCTTCTTCCTGTGAAGATTTCTCTGTAGTTGTCTAGAGACTACTGCTGCCTGTGGTAGTGAGACCTTCTGGTTCAATACTTGGGTTAACTTGTGCCAATAATGTCCCAAGGTTTGATCATTATAGATATGTGTATCTAACAAGAAGATGAGGAAACTGTTTTCAGGGTTACTGATTGCTCTGCATTTTCTCTCCTGCTAGAATTACTTGAAGGAAAAGTTCTCCAAGGAGCTTGAAGAGTTGACCTGTGACATACAAATACCCAGCAAATTCTAGTGAAGTGGCCTGCATGGAAGAAGATTTCCCTTCTATTTTCTATTTGCACTAGTAAAAGATTTTTGAATTATTGTTGTACTTCTGCAGCTTTCTGTCTTACTTTTCTTGCTGTTCGATGGCACACTTGCAACCTTCCAGTAAGCATGCTCGTTTTTAGGAATTCATGTACCTTTGTACACAATAACAATACCTATTTCTCATAAAACAATAAACAATACCTATTGTAAACAATATATATTTCTCATAAAATAACACCCTGAACTTACCGTTTTACCTTTTATATGTGGTGCATACCTGTAACTGGCCTCCAGATGGCACCTTCACCAGATGTTTCAGGGTTTGATTGACATTTGCCACTTAACAATTGAACTGATAAGGGAGTCGATTTGTCTTTTTCCCTGTCCAGGCCCAAGGATTGGGCTTTTTCCTGGAGTGCTGTCTTTGGTGGTGCAAGTATGATGATGACAGACTCATGCTGCCATCAAGTAGATCATTGGCTTTTGCTCCTTTGTTCTTATTTTTTCTTGTCACTGCACGGTTGGGGACACAATGTTTTTTTCCACTTACAGAATGTCCGATGTTTACCAAGGTTGTGAATTTGATTCTAGACTAGAGCACTTCTGAATATGAACATTTTCTTTAAACAGCAGTAAACAGTTAAATTTCTCTATAATGTCATCAGTGTTTGATATTTTGATTAAAACGAATGATACAGAAAGTGTGATCTAGGGCTCAGAATAGTAGTTCCTGTTGCCTCTAAAGCCCTGCAGCATCTGAGACAGCTCACAAAGGGATTTTCATGTCCATGTGTGATGCTGTCTACCTTCATAGAAACAGCTGAGCTTAGAGGTGTTTCACGTGGGTCACAGGATTGACTTCACAGGCCAGCAAATTAAGCAGCTCTCATGGGTAAGAGCTGAGATGCAGCAGCATCAGTCTCCCAAGGTTCTGTAGTCTGGCTGTCATCTCATAATAGGGAAGCCCATGGCACTAACCTGTAAGGTTTCCCATGTTCAAGGCTTTGAGAGAAAGCAGTCTACTGCTGACTACTTGTTTTTTTCTCCTGATTTTATAAATAGAGCCAAGCAAATGGAAGTAGATAAACAGCTTTACAAATAATGAAGTGATAGCTTTAAAAATAAAATGGGTCTATAGTAAGACCTTTCTAGAACTGAAAATACCTGAATATTTTTGCAGAACCACTGTGAGATGTGATCACAGTTAAGCTGGATTGTCCTCTCCAGTTCTATCTCAAATGTCATCTTCCAAGAGTGCCCAGAGCCACCCTTCTACTTCCATGTTGCCACCAACCTTAAACACCTGAGCTTTTAAAACTGAATTGTACTAAAGCAAAAATTCTGAAAATCTGTGCATGGGTTAAATGTCAAAATACAGAAATAGTGGTTGCATGGACTAGGGCCCGTTTTTACTGGGCTGTGTCCAGACTAACAGCAGTGGTGCTTTCAGTCACAACTTTTAGCTACATCTGTTTGCAATCAGAGTTGTGAAAGATTATGGTAACGATAGAGCATGGTTTGCCTGTCCCCAGGAGCTGTTACTTCACTGCAGGCATTGATTCCGCCATGTGCAGGAGGAGTCTTTCTATTGCTTCACATCCTCCCTTGAAGCAACAGGATCATGAGATCTGTCTCTGATTATGCTTGGGTCTACCTCTGATTTCTAAGAAGCTGCAACCTCAGAGTGACACTGGTGCAGTGCCACAGCCTCCTTCACCTAGTTTCTTTCATTGTGAAGGGGACAAATGGAAGGACGTTCAGAAAGCCACTGCTCATGGGAAGCTTCAGCCTCATCTTCCATATGCCAGAGGGGGGAGTGGTGTTTGGTTTCAGGTTTTAAAATCAGTGTGTTAGGAAAGGGTTAGCTGCCTTAGTTTCCTGAATATTTATCTTCAGTTCTTTCTGGGCTAGAAATCAAGATCACAGAATCAGAACCACAGACTGGTTTGTGTCAGAAGGGACCTTAAAGCTCATGATGTTCCAACCCCCTGCCACAGGCAGAAACCTTCCACTAGAGCAGCTTGCTCCAAGCCCTGTCCAACCTGGCCTTGAACACTGCCAGGGATGGGGCAGCCACAGCTTTTCTGGGCACCCTGTGCCAGCGCCTCAGCACCCTCACAGGGAAGAGCTTCTGCCTAAGAGCTCATCTCAGTCTCCCCTCTGGCAGGTTAAAGTCATTCCCCTTGTCCTGTCCTTACAGGCCCTTGTCCAAAGCTCCTCTCCAGTTTTTAGCAGCCTGTTTAGGCACTTGGAGCTGCTCTAAGGTCTCCCCTTAAGAAGCCTTCTCTTCTTCAGGCTGAGTAAGTCCAGCTCTCAGCCTGTCAAGATGGCAAAAACGAGTGGACAAGCCATCTTTTGTACACATGGGCTAAGCTGGCTAAGGGGAACTTACCTCAGAGGTGAACAACATGAAATTCAGAGCAGGAGTGGTAGCATAGGGGTGATTACAGATACAGCTACTGCTTACCAGAAAAAACACTGGCAGAAGGCAAGCTAGTAGTGTTTGCAAGGTCCTACACCTGGGTCAGAGCAATCCCAAGCACAGCTACAGGTTGGGCAAAGAAGAGATTCAGAGCAGCCCAAGCAGAAGGACTTGGGGGTGTTCGTAGATGAGAAAATGAACATGAGCCAGCAGTGTGCGCTTGCAGCCCAGAAAGCCAACCATATCCTGGGCTGCATCAAAAGGAGCATGACCAGCAGGTCAAAGGAGGTGATCCTGCCACTTTACTCTGCTCTTGTGAGACCTCACCTGGAGCATTGTGTGCAGTTCTGGTGTCCTCAACATAAAAAGGACATGGAACTGTTGGAACAAGTCCAGAGAAGGGCCACGAGGATGCTCAGGGGACTGGAGCACCTCCCGTATGAAGAAAGGCTGAGGAAGTTGGGGCTGTTCAGCCTGGAGAAGAGAAGGCTGCGTGGAGACCTCATAGCAGCCTTCCAGTATCTGAAGGGGGCCTATAGGGATGCTGGGGAGCGATTCTTCACTAGGGACTGTAGTGATAGGAGAAGGGGTAATGGGTTAAAACTTAAATAGGGGAAGTTTAGATTAGATATAAGGAGGAAATTCTTTCCTGTTAGGGTGGTGAGGCACTGGAATAGGTTGCCCAGGGAGGTTGTGAATGCTCCATCCCTGGCAGTGTTCAAGACCAGGTTGGACGAGGCCTTGGGTGATATGGTTTAGTGTGAGGTGTCCCTGCCCATGGCAGGGGGGTTGGAACTAGATGATCTTAAGGTCCTTTCCAACCCTAACTATTCTATGATTCTATGAATCTGTGAAGAGCAACAGCATAATCTGACCTTTCTGTTGTGGAAGGGAAAAGAAGTCTTGGAAGGCACCAGAACATAGCTGAGTTGTGTCAGAGAATGGTTTAACAAGACAGCCATTGTAGGGCAGTGGAGGTCATGGCCTGACAATTAAGGAATCTTAATCACTGGAGACCTTTAAGAGCAGATTAGAAATGTGCTGCTTAAGTGTTTATACTGCAAGGATCATGCCTTAGGATACAAAGATGGATTAGATGAGGGCTTGAGGATGCTTTCAGCCCTGCTTTTCAATGAGAATCTTCGGACTTACTCAGCTAATATCAGATGAAGGCTTTTCATCACACACGTGTAGCCACAGCTTGAGGTTTGGGAGGCTTTCCCAGCACTATGGGCTCTTCTTTAGCACCACTTCATCACATAATACCACACTGGCTGTGAAACCAGAGGGGTGCATTCTCACCCTGTACCCACAGGGCAGCTGCACCACAAGTGCTGTGTGTCCCATTCATTGGCAAAGAGCCTAAATACAGACGGCGGCAGGGCCAGGCTCACTCAAGAGCTCTCCAAACATCACCACTTGTCACTTCCTAGCACTGGAAAGGCAAGGAATGAAAAAAACCCACAAAACAAACCACCCAGCAGCTGTACTCAAGCTGTGTGTCACAAACGAGCCATCTGCAGCACATGCAGCATAAATATGAGGCCAGTTGTTGGGTCAAAAGCGCACCTTTTGATGGAAATGGAGTCAGGCAAGATTTATGCAGCCAGTGGGCTGCCAGTGAGGCTGCTCAGTTCTTCAGGTAGTGTTTACATGGGCTAAATGCCCTGCAGGGCCAACGGAGATGTCCTCCCTCGGTGTTGTCCAGCTCAGGGATGGGATGCCGGGAATCCCTCACAGGAGCACACCAGCCTGAATGATCTGCTGAGACGCTGATTTTGGGCTTCACTCTCTGCCCTGTCAACTGTTGAGTGTTTCCATAGAGGTCACAGCAGAGCTGGAGGGAGGCTGCCAGCCGGGCCCCTTAGCTGTTGTGTATCACGAAATAATCACCCTGCTGAGAATGACACACAAGTGAGTGCCTGGAAGGGCCTCACTTTGGGTTACATCAGCTGCTCCAATCTCAACTCACAGCCTGACTGCTGGAGACACCCGCAGAGTCTTGAGACTCTTGGAGTCTATTAACATCCACAGCCTGAGAGCAGTTGTGCTCACTGTGAGCTTTGTGTGGGGCTCCTGAGTGCTGGGGCTGGAGCTGCAGACCATCAGTTTTATCAACAAAGCACAAAAGATGTGCATGCTTTATCACCATATGCTCAAATCCTCCTCCAGGAAAAGATGGGTATCCAAATTCCACCTGAAAAGGAAAAAAAAAAGAGTTAAAATTATACACTAGACATGAAAACTGGTCAACCCTGAGTGTAAATTTATTTCTTTTACCACACAGTGACATAATGCTCTTACCAGGACAATGTGCAAAATAGTAACAGCTTTAGAGAAATTAAGATTCATCCACATACTAGCTAAGTGAGGGGTGTTTATTTAAAAGAAAACATTTAGATACTAAACCCAGAGTCATAAACCTTAAATGCCAGAAAAATGCAAAATACCTTAAGCAAATTTAAGGCTACTAAGCTGAAATATATATCTATTCACTCAAAATGCATTGAAACAAAAGATGGATGTAGTTCTGATTAGCCTTATCTAGTTGAAGATGTCCCTGCTCATTGCAGTGGGGTTGGACTAGATGGACTTTGAAGGTTCCTTCCAACCCAAACTTTTCTATGATTCTATGAGGATGGGATCTCTTTTTGGCTACATATTTTGGCTAGTACTATAGGAATATTGTTATTTGTTGCAAATATTTCATTGTGGTTGCTTTTCAATCTTCCTTTGACTGAAAGCATTCTATTTATTTTTTCATTCCTATAAATCCTTTAGTAGCCATAGAATATTAATATGGGACTTTGTAATTAAATACAATTTAAGAAAATAGTTTCAAGATTTATTTTAAAAGTAAGTTGCATTTTGTAACTTCTCCAGTAAAACAGTCCAAATACTCTTTCAATATTCATTTCTGTTTGGGTACTTACCAGCAAAAAATGTGACATGTTGAATTGTAAGTGTACTTCAGATTTGGTTTAGTTCCATCTAGTACTGAATAAGTCTTACATGTCTAAGAAAGATTTTTCATTTCTGACCTATTCTTTGTGGTTTTAAACTACAGAGTCAGCAGTGAAATAACAGTAATCCTGGACCATGCACCCTTGCATGCTGCAGGAAATGCTTCATTGTGAGTTTCTGTTTGTTGTAAGTAACTTCAAAAGGCTTTAGAAATGGTTTTTATGTTCTCCTTCATTAAAATATCAGTATTAGGCTGGGAGGATTTCTGCTTCTCCAATTCAGAAATATTTCTTCTGAAAACAAAAAACACCATGAGTGTGTAAGCAGAGGCTTTACCAATAAGTTTAAAGGAAAACTTGCGGTTCCTTCTCTCTTTGCTGGGGACCACCTATGTGGGAGATACAGCGCTGCCTCCATCTGCCTTGAAGTCATTCAGCATTGCACCGTCCTTTCTGAGCCACCTAATCACCAGTAAAAAACCCCCAAACAACTCCAAAGCCACCACTTAATCTAATAAACGCTTCCTCTAGCTGCTTACTAAATACGCCTTTCATGCTCATTTAGCAGTGCAGCTGCTTGATTAGGCAATATTGGCTGCTGAAACCCAGCAGTAAGGAAAGTTTTATCTCTCTTCCTTCCCCAGGAGACACAAAGGCTGTGGCTTGGGGACGACGAACCCCTCAGTGTCCTTCCTCGTGGTCCCCCCTCTGGAGGAGCCTGGGTGATGGCTTGGCCAGGTTTCAGCAGCCCATTTATGATTTCAAATGCTTGGCAGCCCGTGGCCCATTGGAAAACAGGCATTGTTTAAATGTTACTGTGAAGGTGAAGTTTATATATATTCCTTCTGCAGAGGATGCTCAGTAGTGTGCCTACAGATGTTGCTGTTAGATGCTCGGGATTGGGCTCATGAAAAGACATTCTCCCAGTCTGGAGCTAGAGGGAAACTTTCAGCCTGGGGCTGGGGAAGAGATGGGAGAGGGATGAAGGAACTCCACTCCCCCTGCCAACTGCTGCAGAGGGTAGCCAGCCTGGAAGCCCTTAGAGCCAAAGCGCTTTCTCAAAAAGCTTTTACTTTGACACCACAACATGGTTCTGGGTCACTCCTGCCTCTACTTTGAGTTAATTTCTTCCCATTGTCTTTGAGAAAGCTGTGGAGAGAGGTGGTGGCAAGTGGGGGTGGTGACCATCCCTTGGAAGCTCAGGCCTGAAGGAGCTTCTGCCACTCCCTTTCCCGGTGATCCTCCCTAGAGATATCCCACTGAGACTCCCCTTTCTCAGACAGAGAAGTTCTTATTGCTTCTTCAATGACGTAACTAACACTGAAATCATTTCACTCTTGGCAGATGTTGACAGAGAATGATATAGCAGAGCAAAAGCAGGCTACAAAAGGCACTGAGCTGTACTCCTGTATTGTTAGAGCCAGCACCACCACTGTCTTTTCTCCTCCCTTCCTAATCTTTCAATCCATCTCCCTGAAAATTCAGAATGAGTTCCATGGTGTTTCTCCTAATCTGGCATACAAACTCTCAGGCAATAAAGCTTTCACCACTTCCCTTAGGGAGACAACTTTCCAGCCTGTGATTCTCTGTTTAAAAGCTTTCCACCCTGATTTTCAGCTTAAACATGCCCTTTCTTAATTCCACCCCATTAAACTCATTAACGTATCACCAGTCTTCCTCCCACTTCATTCAAATATTTACAGATCACTAATGCCTTCCTGCTTTGTTTACTAATTTCACTGTACCTAGAATAGTCAGTATTTCTTTCCTTTTCCTTTCAAACACTTCCAGCCTTCTGGTTCCTTCAGTCGAGTCTCTTTGAGTTCTTTTCCATTTATCACTCTTGTTGCAAATGCAAGGCAGATGCTCACTGCCCTCGCCTGTATCGTTATGCTTTCCTGTATGCTGTCCAAAACTGCATTGCCTATTCCCTGCTGGTATGTTCTAGCACCTGTGTGACAGCCTATTGTCCTCTGGGTGTCTTTCAGGAGCTGTGCCTCCAAAAACATAGATTTTGGGATGTTTTTCTTTCTCCCAGAAGTAGCCAGGCATGTTGTGAAGGCTGATTGATGGCTTTAACCTGCCAGAGGGGAGACTGAGGTGAGATTTTAGGCAGAAGAGGGTGGTGATGCACTCTGTGAGGGTGTGGTGCACTCTCACAGGGTGCCCAGAGAAGCTGTGGCTGCCCCATCCCTGGCAGTGTTCAAGGCCACACTGGACACAGGGGCTTTGAGCAACCTGCTCTGGGGAAGGTGTTCCTGCCCATGGCAGGGGGTTGGAACTGCATAAGCTTTAAGCTCCCTTCCAACCCAAAGTAGGCTGTGGTTCCATGATTTTAGTTGGTGGCAGGGCATGGCTGGAGCCACACATGAAATCAGAGCAGACTCTCCCCACACGGGGAAGGTTTCATCTTTTCTTAAACATGGACTTCGTTAGCACCATGCTCATTCCCTCTTAAGCCAACACGACTGATCCTGGATGCAGCAATGAGGATGGTACTCCTGCAAAGGAAGTTTTTTTTTACATGTTTGGTGACAAATATATCTTGTAAACTACTGTTTGAAGACAGAATCCTGAATCCCTGGGTACGTAGCTCTACTTCTACCTGAATCTCTTAAGCTTAGTAATCCTTGCTGTGACAAATTCTTCTGAGGTAGTGTGTGATCTCTATTTCCAAGTCCATGTATGTGATTTGGGTGGTGGTGGGGTAGATGTGCAAATACCCCTTTCTATATTATCAACTCTATAATCGTGGGATCTGTCAGAAGTTCCTCTGCTCTACGATGCATGTTTAACACTTGAATTTCTCAGACTTTTCTAGGCCCTGGCCAGAATTTAAGGTCTATACTGCAATGATTCTACTACCTGAAAGGAGGTTGTGAGGTGGGGGTGGGTCTCCTCTCCCAAGTACCAAGTCATAGGACAAGAGGAAACGGCCTCAAGCTGTACCAGGGAAGGCTTAGATTGGAGATTAGGAACAATTTCTCTCCTGAAAGGGTTGTCAAGCACTGGAACAGGTTGCCCAGGGCAGTGGTGGAGTCACCATCCCTGGAAGCGTTTCACTGCCATATAGATGTGGCACTTAGTGACATGGTTTAGTGGTGGCCTTGGCACTGCTGGGTTAACAGTTGGACTGGATAATCTTAAAGGTCTTTTTGAACCTGAGCAATTCCATGGTTTAACAATTGCTGCCACATTTCCAATTGCAGAGCACTACCCACACCGTGCAGTTGTGTAGCGCACATACCTCGCAGCTGCAGAGCTAGATACTCTGATTAAGAAACACCATAAGGGTATTTAATGTGTGAGTTGTAACGCCACCGTAACTGCACACCATGCTTCCCACCCAGCCCCCAGGTCTCTGATCTCAGGGATCAGTGTCACAGGGGAACCATGTTGGCCCAGGGCTGAGAGGTATTTGTGGTGCTGGGCTCCGGCCCTTTCACATGCACCTCACCTAGCTGAGCCCTTCCCATCGCCTGGCCCCTGCACTGGGGAAGATGTTTCTTTCTTGTTCTTTCTTTGTTCCTTTCTGCTTCCTCATCTGCTCTTTTACTTGCGTGAGTCAGCACCAACCGCTGAGCTTGGTTTGCCCACACTGGGAAACTCAGAGCAGCTTCCAGTGCCTAGAGGGGCTACAAAAAGCCTGGAGAGGGGCTTTGGACAAGGGCCTGTAGGGACAGGCCAAGGGGAATGGCTTTAACCTGCCAGAGGGGAAACTGAGATGAGCTCTTAGGCAGAAGCTCTTCCCTGTGAGGGTGCTGAGGCGCTGGCACAGGGTGCCCGGAGAAGCTGTGGCTGCCGCATCCCTGGCAGTGTTCAAGGCCAGGCTGGACACAGGGGCTTGGAGCAAGCTGCTCTAGTGGAAGGTGTCCCTACCCGGGGTATGGCGCTCGACTTGGGTGAGCTTTAAGGTCCCTTACAGAGCGTTCTATTACACCAGATAACACGGTGTGCCGTTAGCCGGTAGATTACCCACCCTTCCAGCTCCTTCTTCAGCCGCCGCCGAGCCCCTCACAAAGCTCCGGCCCCTCACTGCTCTTCACCGGTGCCGCGCTCGGGGCGGTACCTCCGTGTTCCCCTCAGGGCGCCGGCGGTGGCGCTGTGGGCCGGCGGCCGCTCTGCGCGGCTCTCGGTGCTCCCGCTGTGGGAGGAAGTGACGCCGCACGCGGATCCGCGGCCTCGGTGACATTCTGTGAGGCAGTGGTGGGGGGGGGGGCGACGGCGGCACGGCTCAGACCTGGCTCGTTGTGGCCGTCCATGCCCGGCTGCTGCGGCTCGGTGGGGACGGCAGCGGGGCCCCGCGTCCTACAGGTGAGTGCAGCCGGCGCGGACAGGGCTGGTCCCCTGCGCGCTTCGGAGGGGTCGGGCTGGGCCGGGCCGGGCCCGGCCGCTGCCGTTATCCCCGCTGTTGCGCGGGCGGTTGGCTGCTACTGCTCTCCCTCCGTCCTCTGTCCAGCTCCGGTGCCGGCGGTGTTGGGAACTGGGAAGGCCGCGGTCCTGGCTGCGCCAAGCCAAGGGCTTCGGGAGCGCGGGGTGCCCGGTGGCTGGCTTCGGGCGCCGGTAAGCGGTGACCTCCATCTCGGGCCGTGCGGTGCCGGGGCGCGGGAGACCCGCCGAGCCGCCGCTTTGAAGCCACGCAGCGGTGAGAGCTGTGCCCCAGCTCCTGGGAGCAATTTCTGGGCACTGTGAACTCCCTCACTACAAGAGAGACGGTCCCCTCTGGGTTCTTTATTACAAGGGAGACACTGAGGTGCTGGAGGAGTCCGAAGAAGGGCAGCGAATCTGGTGAAGGGCCTAGAGCGTAATTGTGATGAGGAAGGGCTGAGGGACCTGGGAGTGTTTGGTCTGGAGAAGAGAAGGCTCAGTGGGGACCGTATTGGGGGGGAGGGGAACAGGCTGCGGTGGAGTCACTAGCCCCGGAAGCGTTCACACACCGTGTCGATGAAGCCCTCAGTGGCATAGGTTAGTGGTGGCCTTGGCAGTGCTGGGGAACGGTTGGACTTGATGAGCTTCAGGGTCTTTTGCAACCCAGCTGATTCTGTGATTAGAGGACTTGGGTGTTGCACTGTGGGATCATATATGGAGTAGTGTTAGCTGTTTGGAGAAAAACTGCTGAAAAGCGAGGCATGTAACTGCTCCAGTTTATGCTTCTCTAGTCTTTCTGCTTCTTTGTTTACCTTGGATGATATGGGAATATATATTTCATGCGGAAAAAGAGTTCAAGTTGCTCCTTGCCTGTCGAGTCTGAGGTCCCCTTGAGCTACTGACGTCTAATGGGTTGCAGATGTGGCTTTGAGCCACACAGCTATCCAGAGAGAATATAAAATTTAACTGTGCTACTTGTTCTTTGTAAAACGGAAAAAGGCAGCCTGAGCAGACTTGTAAAATTTAAGCATTTCCCCAGTTCAGATACTATAACTTTCTTTGTATCCGGGTTATTTGGCAACTACTCAAAAGGCTGCTTTTTGAAAAACTTCCGGGTGGGTTTTTTTAGGTTTACATTGTGTAGTTGGTAGGGAGAGCTTACGTATTTGTAAAGCAGCATCTAGTTGTATTTATGTCTTTGTTTGTAAATAGTGGAACCAGGCTGCTTGTATTAACATTTGTAGCTGCTTTCATGAAGCTGTAACTGCAATAACTTAGTTAAACAAAGTCTTGGTTGTAATAGTCACACACTTTAAACCAGCACAAAGTACCTAGCAGCATTTAAAAGGCTGAAAAAAGGTGTGTGTAGAGATGATGCCAGATAAGTCAATCCTGTTTGATACTGGATGTTTGTTCTTTCATGGGCAAATGATTTTAGCTTTTAACATGAATGAGTAGTGAATCTTTGAATCCTTGAGCATCTCTTTAAAAATGTAAAATTTCTCTTAAGCCCCCCTCCTCCCTAAGTTTTTATTTGGTTTTAAGTCTTGCCTGGTATTTGTCAAGCTCAAAACCAAATAATAGCTTATTTACAGTTTCAAGGCGAAATTTCAGGTACAGCTTGTAATAGTTCTGTCCTTAGAACATCAAACAAACGGTGAATGTAAAAAGCTTTTCTTAAAGTTGCTGAAGTCTATTCAGAAACTTGATGTTTGACCTTGAGGTGGAAACTGGGTATAGTGCTTTTTTGAGGTCTTCATCTTGTGGTTCTTCTGCCCTAGTTAACACCTGTAATTGCTGTTTCTGTGATAGAAGAGCTGAAAGTCAGGCACAACAGGGCAGATTCCCTTTGACCAGGAGGAGGGAAGCACTGCCTTTGCAGAGGGAACAGGTTTGTGATAGGCTCCAAGGGCAGCAGCTTGTCAGATGTTTGCTAAGTCCAAACATCTCTCCCCATATACAAGCACAATACAAAAGCAGTGAGATGAACTCAGTTGTCCAATGGCAATCTGTCTTAAGCATCATTTTCTGAGTCTTTCTCATGTCTAGTTATCTGGAGCAGTCTGGTGCTGGCAAAAGAAGCTCCAAAGGAGGTAGTTATGTGGCTATTAATGCTAATAAAATACTGCTTTCTGTGGTGGTTCTGGTACACCAGTAACACTGGTGTTTTGTCTAGGGGATTAAGAGGAGGAACAGTGCGGGTGATGGAAGGTAGTACGTGAGTCTGGGCAGCTGGTGTTATCCTCAAGTATGAGGATAACAGTTCTGACTCATTTTTAATAACACTTCAATTTTTAATTATAATGTGTAGACTATTTCTGTTTGCTCTTCAGCCTAATTGCTAGTTGGCATCGTGAAGAGGTGCAATGAGAAATTCCTGAGAAATCAGGAAGAGGAAAGGACTGTGGTCTTACACATTCACACGTGCATTGCCTTACAGCTTGACCACCTGTGCGTGCACTTGATAAACACATGGGGGCTGCAGTGCACAAACAAGTTGGGAAATGAGTGGATACATTAAGCTGGGTGCTATGGAGGGAAGAAGGAAGGAACCCGAGGCCAACCACAAATCAGTTGAGAACAGTCGATGTGGAGTAGTCATACATGCTCTAGCTGGTAAGAGAGGTGAGAAGGATGTTTACGTACGTTTGACAAATGAGCAGATCACACTGACAATGACAGCGTGGACAAGGGGGGATTAGTGAGGTAAGGTTGGATGAACAAAGAGTAAATATGGAGAGCCATGAGGGGCTTTGAAGACTGAGTGTTAGGTAGATAAGTTGATGTAACTTGGCCAGAGCAACAAGAAGTAGTTGCTTTGATAGTCCTGATCCCACATCTGCATGCTGTATGTTTACCTTTAAAATGCTGGCTTCTTTGCCTTGCCTTGATCTTGTTCACCCCATTGCATGTCAGCTCCCTGTTCCACCAGGGATGTATGTGCCATCTATGACCCACATGTATATCAACATCTCATGTAAACATCTGTTAATGAGATGGGAGTCTCTGCGTACCATACTGCAAAAGTGTCTGCAGACTGAGCATGCACATCTGCCTCATTACCCTCTGACTGGAACATCACCACCAGTTAAAGCTTTGGAAACTTTTCAAATTACTAAACAGTTTCAAGCAACCTGGCTTTAATTTTCTGTAACATTTCAAAGTTAGCATATTGATGGGACTTTCTGACAGAATTAGGTCTATGGTCAATCGCAGCTTCTGTGCTTTTTATCTGCAGTTGACTAAGTAACTTAGAAAGCTGTAAACATTGACAGAAACTGAGCAGCAGATTTAATAACACATTTACTAGATCAGAGTGAAAGATTTAAATGCCACAGTTGCAAGTGTTTAACTCCTTAGAGCAAGTGCTCTAGAAAATAAGTACTAAAACTTGAAATTCTTTGCTAGCTTGAATGTTACTGGTAGAAATGGGGAACCAAAAATGAAGGAACAGGAGAGGGGGATGGGCATAGTGCTGGGAGAGAGCTCTGGGTTAAAGCTGTGTCGTACATAATGCGTGTCAAGATAACCTGAGGTTCACAAAGAAACCACTTTTGTTTTCATTTTCCAGTACATGAAGTTCAAGAGAGAACCGATGCTCGTGCCTTGAGTTTTAGCTCTGTAACTTGGAATCATCTGAACTGTTATGACACCAGAATCTGTGGCAGCAAATATTATTGCAGGGAACTTAGTACTGTTTTCGTGGTGATCTGTGTTGTCTTTCTGTCGCATCTTTGTTCCACGTCTTTAATGCATAATGCAGTCCTGAGCCTGTGACTTGAGGTCTGAAATGCAACATCTGCAAGTGTGCAATTCTGAGCAAGAAGAAAACTGGAGGAAAGAGACTGTAACTGAAAGTGTGCATACAGTGTAAATATTAGCCTCCGCAGTTGCTTTCTCATAACAGAGTACATCTCTGAGGTAGGCTGGAGTGACTGTCACTTCTTCAGTGTTACTGCTAGGGTTAAAATTTAAACTTTGTGGTTGCCGATTCCCACTTGTTAGTGTTCCTCTTCACATGTCTTATCAGTGTGAGTAGAGCCTGTACAGTATAGCAGTTTCTGTATGGATATTACTGACTTTATGCAGTTTGGGCACACCTTGGTTACTCGTTGAGGACTGAAAGTGAGATGCTGCTCAGTCACTGAGGTGTTGCCATTACACTGTTCCAGATGCATTACTGAATGCATAGGGAGGTCAAGTAACATGCCCATGGTCATGTGGTGAGTCAGCTTTAGGTTTGGAATAATCCAGCCTAATGTCCCTTCTTATTTAAGAAGGTGTTTAGAGTTTTGTATCAGTTTAACCACATAGTCTGTCTCTTGAATGCTCAGAAATTGATTAAAGTAGCAGAATAGCATACAGGCTTCTGCTGTATAGCGCCTTGTGATATTTAGTTTCCAGGAAGACAGTTTAAAAGCTGTTAGGAGGACTCAATCTGACAGCTTTTAAATCATAAGCAGAACAGGTGGGCACTTTTTAATTAAATGCAAGTATTTCAGACTTTTTCATGCTAACATTTTTGTTTCAGTATACGTGGATCATGGGTTTGACATTATAGTGAGATTTCTTCAGTGTCCTGCACAGTATTTTTCTGCCCTGATGCTTCAAAATTTCCTGTAAATGAGCAGGAAGAGCCAGACCGTGATCGAATGTGTTGTTCTTGTTACATTTCTGCTGTAATGTCTTATTTCATGGTGCTTGGTCTTATTTCAGAGAAGGCAGATTTCACTTGCATTCATCCAAAATGGTTAGAGACCAAGTGACTCATGGTAGCGGAACTGGGAATAACTAAAAGCCAGACTTTGTAATGCCAGTTGTCTGTGTGATGATGCAGTTACTGCCATTTCAGTAATTTGTTTTTCCCTGGGACTATTACAGTTCCATGATACCAGTTTGAGGTTGGCACTTTATGCTCCAGTAGTATTGTCAGACTTTCTGAAGTA